AACAGATTATTTTTGTCCCCTGCGCGACACATCGCTGTCACAGCAGCAGTGATGAATGTGTGGTGCTCGCAAGCCACCAAACACGCGTCAATTTTCCCAAATCGCAACGCCGTGGATTTTTTTCGCGGTTCTTACAGAGAGTTCACTGAACGGACAAATATAAAAAATAAATAAATATGATAACAAGAATTTCAAAACTGTTTCTCTGACGGAACAGAACAAGAACGCGTCACGCGAACATCACATAAACGCGTCACAGACTGAATTTACAACACAATACTTTACGCAGCGACAGGAGATAATTTACTACTTCATAAGAATATGGTACGATAGAATTTTAAATCACGTGACCGAAGAAAATGAACGTTTTTGGGCATTAATAAATATATAGGTAGTTAGGATACTAAAGTACATACGTATCAGGGAACTTATTTGTAGATATCACGGTACACACGGAGCAGAGCAAGAGAGAATGAGACACAAGCTACTGAAAGTGATAAGTAAAGAATAAAGACTGTTCCTCCTTTGCAGTCATAAAAGACGCTTTAACCTTTAGGTTAGTGCCATGGGGTTATCCGTAGCCAACCTCGCTCCTGCGCTCATACGAGCCACATGCTCGTGTTGTTCAAGTTCATATAACAGGAGTACTTTGCTGACGATTTTACCGGGATATTTGATGCGTCGACCGCCATGTGCGCGACAATAAAGATATTCAGAGAGTTTTAGGCTACGGCGATGTAACGGCATATAACGGATAATGCAATGCTACGGCATTAGACACCACACAAATGGCCCCCAGCTTACCTAAAGCAGGAGTTTACATCCTGCATAAGCATACTGACACCTTCTTAAACATGAGATAGGTCACATTGATACAGATTGACAGCTCTGAACATTTGTTCATATTATCGGCAGTATTGGAACAATAAAGCTCTTCATATCTCTGTTAACAGCAAAAATTCTATAATTTACCCCAGGAAAATATTTACCTCCAATTAGCACGCATGAGTGAAAGCAACGTATGGGAACCTCTATTGGCTCCACGCGGCCAAGCCTCTTAAATAAATTTTGAGAACGACGTCAACCCAAAAAAGGTCAACTTAAGAAGATATGCATACACTTACGGCATCAGCAGTCATGATTTTTCCAACATTTCACGTCAAATTGCCCTCTTCAACTGTTTCTTTCTTTTCTTGTCTTCTTTCCAGGAAATACGAGTAACATTTGCAAACATTAATAAATCAAAAGAAGTATTTCAAACTTTCGTGTGTGATATGGGCGTTCATCTCAAACATTTTAACGCATCCGTTGGAAATTTCTGCGACTGCTCAGCCAAATCCGTAATTGTAAGCCAGCTCTACGCTGCCAGTCATTTCCTTACATCAAAGTTTATAAACCTGAGTAGCTGACTTTCGTGTGACGTCACTCAAGACTTAATCAAGCGTCTATCACAACGCTCGGGCGGAGTTTTATCATATGAGACTGGTGAGCAAATTGATGCGTCGCACGAATATCATTCAAGTACGAAACTATAATGCCTCTGTAGTCAGAATCACTAACTGATGAAGGGAACCACAGACAATGCAAAAAATTGAGAACCTCAACGTAAAAGATTATACAGCAAGGCTCGACGGGCACCATTGGCCCCATCGTCAGATACTTCATAATAATTAGCTGCCTGCAAATAACTTATTATTAATTAACTGCCTGCAAAAATAGCATAGTTGCGTTATCGGCGACAGCTTGTGAGGTCACCGATCGCTTATCGCTGGTAACTAATGATAACCGAGACCCAGCAATGCATTGCAAGCAGTACGGTCCAGCAATCAGCCTCGCAAAAATTTTACTTAGCGACAGTGTGAGAAATTAAACATATTCGCCAGTAAACATTATTTCGCTTAATCGTAGTTATGTATGAGGAAGACCTTATAAAGCCGCCCAGTGTGACAGGGCACGAAAGCATAAAACAGGGCACGAAACATAAGCACGCAAGAACAATTGCAGCGGAACAAGTAAAGCTCGCGGACTAGTGCAGCCCAAAGAGTCATATTCCTGTCTCAAGAGTGAAGCCCATAACAGTTTTGAGACAGGAATATCAACGTATCTATGGTAGTGTTGTTCAGCGCTGTTTTTAGCAACAGACTTTACACGGTTGGTTTGTACAGCTGTCGCATCACGCGCTTCGCAAGAATACAACTGATCAAGTACTCACATCTCCCGCAGGGTGCGTATGAAATACATGTAACTAATGACATTATAATTGATTCAAGTGTAAATCGAAAGGTTGAGGGTAGTGGCCGCTATACGTAGAACGTTTTAAGTTCATCTGATCCGATGAGATCTAATTCGAGCATCAATGAGAGCTTCTATGTCTTGGCTGCCCGACCTTGTATTGGTTGCCATGTAAACTCTTCACCAACTGCCACACCGGCCCTGCTTGGCCAGGAGTAAGATTACCACATGTAAGATTACCACATGAGTAAGATTACTCACGATCTCGTAAGGGTAGAATGTAACCGACACATTTTATAAAAGATTCAGCACATATACTGCACACACAGTGGCCACGTAAGGGTCAATGATACTTTTTCTGATCATTAGCTTGGTCGTATAACACGGAAAATAGGCTTTAAATTCCACCTGTACGGAAATGCAGATAGGTACTCTTAGACCAGAAGCATCTGAGATTCCATTAATATTCTTACCGAGAAAAAAAATTACAAATGGAATTAATGATCTTCCAAGTAGATGCACGCAGTAGAAACCAACATAATGTGCGATAGATCTCATCAACTTCTTATTCAAGCAGCATCTGGACTCTTCCTGAGCGTGTCTTGCCGGAAGCCAGACTGTGGACGATGGTGTATGACATTCATAAAGCATGTGATTGACATTGATTTCACGTAATTTTAATCATATGTATTACGATATATCAGCTCAATCATATTAATAATAATCAATCGCAGCATAATATTTTAATATTAAATAGAGAATGTGATGTAGAGCCCTGTAGACTAGCAGGCTAAGCGTAAGCGGTCGCCTCGATATAACTAATTCATTCATGATTTATTCATTCCAGCACTGATGAATCATGCGACTGGTTCGATAAGGAATGAATTACTAACCACCTGCCAACATTACCCTCTTCAGCACCAACACTGATAATTTACAGCCATCAGTTGCATGACAGAATCATAGCGTTATTTTTTCGCGTGGTTTAGAAATAAGAATAAAATTCTAGAATTTCACGACAATTAAAGGTTACGCATTTTAATATTTGAATATACCGTAATCGGGAAGCTCAGCCTTACCACGGTGTTTAAAATTGCATTTTACAACTTCAATAACCTGTCCGTTCTGATTGCAGCTTACGAGAAATTATTGCGAAGATTACACATTCCGAGGTCATATTTTTGATAAAAAAATTAGGTGCAAACCCAATATGATTTTGGCTGTAGGATATTTGTCTTACTACATAAATGATCTTTGCAACGCCCGCAGATGACCTTTTGCAAAGCAGTCGCGATATTGTCAACATAGCGGTCTATACGATGTCTGATGCAGCACTAGCCTGATGCAGCACTAGCCTGATGCAGCACTAGCCTGATGCAGCACTAGCCTGACGCTAGCCTTATAGTAGCTCATAATTCAATGCATCGCCGTTCATAGGACGACGTTCTGACCTGGCGCCCAGACATGCGGCCTTCAGGGCGGCTCCGGGCAATTCTAGGGAGCTTTCTCCGCCAGCCATACTGGACCAGCCATAGTGATGTCTCCGCATACATACTGGGGCGCCTCAGGCAGCAATAGCGATGGCTCATATATATTTATAGCCATACTGGGGCGCCTCGAGCAGCCATAGTGTTGTCTCATATAGCCTCATCACGACGGTATTTCAGGCAGCCTTGACTCTGGAGCACCTTTGTACTAGGTCAAGAAACACTGCATTGTCTTTAATAGCAAATGAAGAATAATTATTGTCAACAAGAGCGCTATACTAGCTCAGAAACCCGATCGATGACCACATATTCAACCATAATAACGAAGGTTATAAAGTGCAGAGGACGCTCGAATAAAGGCATGCAGAAACAGGAGTCTAATGAAGAAAAGGAGCATATACCTTGGTCAAGACAGAATTAAAATGATCGATTTTAATTTAATTAAAGTAGTGTCACATTCAGGAAAATATTACAGAAGTAATCTATTCTGATGATAGCTCTATGACATTGAGTAGAAGTTACTAGGCGGAAGTGGCACTGTAGCAAGCACAGCCAGCCTGTTGCATTTGAGTTACCAGGCAAAGCAGGCAAGGTGGCAGCGAAGCAGGCAAGGTGGCAGCAAAGCAGACAAGGTGGCAGCAAAGCAGGCAAGGTGGCAGCAAAGCAGACATGGGGACACGCTACCTTGGCAACAGCTTTGTGCGTGTACCCTGTATGAAACTATTCCTGCCCTGATGTAGTCTATCATATTAGCCTTTCATTCAATGAAACTATTCAATCACTTCATTGACCTTCAAGTCAAAATGTAAGATGTTCAATAATTCAACCTCTCACCCACGTGTTAGGGGTGACAGTGTACATTACCTATATTATATACTCAGGTCGATTTTGGTGATCACGTAACGGCAATAACCGCAAGAGGTAGGCGACAGATGGGGTGGATCTGGCGGACGTTCAGAACGAGAGAAGCGGAACCGATGATCACACTCTTCAGAGCCC